GGCAGCTTGTCTGGCGTCTTTTTCTGGCAGCTGGACGCCATGGTATCGCTGTTGGTGTCGCTGCCATGGCATCCTAGTGTGATACCGCCCTTAGAAATCCATTGACCTCGGCCGGGATTAAAACCGCGAACCTTGGGTCCAGTGCACGGCGAGCTAACCTCTAGTCCACCGAGGACAACCAAGAGCAGACATTGGTTGCTTACATCTTAACCCCCCCCCCAAAAAAAAAAAAAAAAAAATGGAAGAGGACTGATTCAAGTAGGAGCTTACATAACAGAAGCTATTATACTGGTAAAATATAAATATATATAATATAAATAGTAAATAACATCCAATTATACAAATTGTTTTCAGAGAAAATGAACAAAAACACACACTCAACGCACGTTCAAACAGTTAATACATTTAAGACACTTTTTTTTTAAATTGAAGCATAGTAAATAAATAAATAAATAAATAATAGCTCATAACATAAAAAGGGGAGAAGTAAAGACGCAGGGATAATTTACAAATAGCTTAGATAAAAAATTGGTGAAATATGGAGACATTAAGATATAAACAAAAAAATATAGTTATGGTAGCTCAGGATCAGGCAATCCGTACAAACTACATTAAAATACATTTTTAAGAATAAATTATAAGTAGATACCGATTATGCAAAGAATACGAAGTGACTATGACCACCTAATATTTTAATATCCCATTATGCAATAGAATTATTACATAATGAGACATGATAAAATATGAACAAAAAATTACTCGTTTGCAAGGCAGTAGTAATTTATACAACTTAAAACGTACTCACACTACATAAGTCGGTGTGTGAACACGAATATATAACACTGTTATAGGATAGAGCAATTCTGTCGTGTAGAACAGTCATAATAATTAAAAACAAGAAAGATAACAAATACTTGCAAAGCCATATTTGAATACTCCCCCTTTCTGCTTCCCCCCGCCCTTGCCCCTCACTGGTGGCATTTGCCTTCATACACCTGTCGTCGTCGATTCCTTATTTCGGACTTAAATTCTGTGCGTGTGTTCAGCGGTTAGAAAATCTGTGCTGCTCTGGTAAGTTATTCTACGTGGGTTTGTTAGTTCCTGGTAGTCTAATGGTCTATTTTACTTAGATTCGCGGAGGAAACCGTTTTGTCTCTCCTCCTGTTATGACAGCATCTCATAATTTTATATTTGGCTTCAGTTTGTCATTTCGTTTATGTTATTGTTATTAAAATATTATAATATAGGTACTGTAGCCTGGTTTTAATATTCAGTTTCATATTTGACGTTTATTGATTCATGGCTGTTACATTTCATTCGAAACACTTAATTTGCATTATTGTTTGGGCTGAGTTTGTAACTGCAAATACAATCGTGAGTAATTTTAAGGAATCTTTTCACCATTCCTTTTATTATTATTATTATTATTATTATTAT